GTCTCTTGGAGCGTGAGGAGGATCATCAGGAATACACGAGGAATGCGTACGCTTGTGAACGTTCGGGGTGCATGCGTACCATCTGTGTTGCCTATGATCGTTCGGAAAGCTCTGCTGTATTACATTCTCGCGTTGCATGGACGTCGCGCCAGGACTGCCAGCAATAGCCTGGTGGCGGGAGAACACGACCGCCTGGCGTCTGAGTCTCGCTTCTCCGAACCCCGAGGAAAAATTAGCCTGGCGAAGAACCCAACCATATGCAGTTGTCAGTACCGCAGCTGCGGGTTTCATCTTCAATGGAACTCCCCATAGGACTACGGAACGTGTGAGGGGTGTGCCGAGACGGGTGCCACTGGGGCATTCGGCGAAGCTCCCTATGGGGACATGAAACACGCGCGGGGCGTGCCGACATGGGTGGCGGAAACGCATGTGCGGGCCGCCACTGGGGCCTCCAGTGGAGCTCCCTATGTGTCCCCAAAACATGATGCTGCTGGGGGTGGGGGGGCCGGGATGGGTGGCGGAGACGCATGTAAGCGCCGCTACTGGGGCCTTCGGTGGAGCTCCCTATGGGGCCACGAAGCGCGTGAGGGGTGTACTGGGATGTGTGGCGGGGACGCATGTGAGCGCCGCCACTGGGGCCTTCGGTGCAGCTCTCTATGGGGCCACGAAACGTGTGAGGGGTGTGCCGAATTGGGTGCGGGTGGTGACGCATGCGGGCGGTGCCACTGGGGCCTTCGGTGGAGCTCCCTATGGGGCCACGAAACCTGTTGTTGTGAGGGGCGTGCCGGGATGGGTGGCGGGGACGCATGTGAGCGCGGCCGCTGGGGCCTTCGGTGGAGCTCCCTATGGGGCCACGAAACGTGTGAGGGGTGTGCCGAATTGGGTGGGTGTGGGTGACGCATGTGAGCGCCGCCACTGGGGCCTCCGGTGGATGATGGGGCCACGAAACCTGTCAGGGATGTGCCGAAATGGGTGCGCGGGACGCATGCGCATGTGAGCGCCGCCACTGGGGCCTTCGGTGGAGCTCCCTATGGGGCCACGAAACGTGTGAGGGGTGTGCCGAATTGGGTGTGCGTGACGCATGCGGGCGGCAGCACTGGGGCCTTCGGTGGAGCTTCCTATGGGGCCACGAAACGCGTGAGGGGTGTGCCGAATTGGGTGTGCGGGACGCATGCGGGCGGCAGCACTGGGGCCTTCTGTGGGGCTCCCTATGGGGCCACGAAACGTGTGAGGGGTGTGCCGAATTGGGTGTGCGGGACGCATGCGGGCGGCAGCACTGGGGCCTTCGGCGGGGCTCCCTATGGGGCCACGAAACGTGTGAGGGGTGTGCCGAATTGGGTGTGGGGACGCATGCGGGCGGCAGCACTGGGGCCTTCGGTGGGGCTCCCTATGGGGCCACGAAACGTGTGAGGGGTGTGCCGAATTGGGTGTGCGGGACGCATGCGGGCGGCAGCACTGGGGCCTTCGGTGGGGCTCCCTATGGGGCCACGAAACGTGTGAGGGGTGTGCCGAATTGGGTGTGCGGTGACGCATGCGGGCGGCAGCACTGGGGCCTTCGGTGGGGCTCCCTATGGGGCCACGAAACGTGTGAGGGGTGTGCCGAATTGGGTGTGCGTGACGCATGCGGGCGGCAGCACTGGGGCCTTCGGTGGGGCTCCCTATGGGGCCACGAAACGTGTGAGGGGTGTGCCGAATTGGGTGTGGTGACGCATGCGGGCGGCAGCACTGGGGCCTTCGGTGGGGCTCCCTATGGGGCCACGAAGCGTGTGAGGGTGTGCCGAATTGGGTGTGGGTGACGCATGCGGGCGGCAGCACTGGGGCCTTCGGTGGGGCTCCCTATGGGGCCACGAAACGTGTGAGGGGTGTGCCGAATCGTGATGGGGCGTGCCGACGCATGTGGGGCCTTCGGTGGGGGGGCCACGAAACGTGTGAGGGGTGTGCCGAATTGGGGTGTGGGTGACGCATGCGGGCGGCAGCACTGGGGCCTTCGGTGGGGCTCCCTATGGGGCCACGAAACGTGTGAGGGGTGTGCCGAATTGGGTGTGGGTGACGCATGCGGGCAGCAGCACTGGGGCCTTCGGCGGGGCTCCCTATGGGGCCACGAGGCGGTGTACTGGGTGGGTGAACAGGAGAGGAGGAGAGGAGGAGAGGAGAGGAGGAGAGGAGAGGAGAGGAGGAAGCGGGGACCGTCTCTTCAAAACGAGGACCCAACACCACAGGACGGTTGGGAAACTTAGCCTGGCGAAGAACCCAACCATATGCAGTTGTCAGTACCGCAGCTGCGGGTTTCATCTTCAATGGAACTCCCCATAGGACTACGGAACGTGTGAGGGGTGTGCCGAGATTGGTGCCACTGGGGCATTCGGCGAAGCTCCCTGTGGGGACATGAAACACGCGCGGGGCGTGCCGACATGGGTGGCGGAAACGCATGTGCGGGCCGCCACTGGGGCCTCCAGTGGAGCTCCCTATGGGTCCCCGAAACATGATGCTGCTGCGGGGGGGGGGGCCGGGATGGGTGGCGGAGACGCATGTAAGCGCCGCTACTGGGGCCTTCGGTGGAGCTCCCTATGGGGCCACGAAGCGCGTGAGGGGTGTACTGGGATGTGTGGCGGGGACGCATGTGAGCGCCGCCACTGGGGCCTTCGGTGCAGCTCTCTATGGGGCCACGAAACGTGTGAGGGGTGTGCCGAATTGGGTGCGGGTGGTGACGCATGCGGGCGGTGCCACTGGGGCCTTCGGTGGAGCTCCCTATGGGGCCACGAAGCGCGTGAGGGGTGTACTGGGATGTGTGGCGGGGACGCAATGTGAGCGCCGCCACTGGGGCCTTCGGTGCAGCTCTCTATGGGGCCACGAAACGTGTGAGGGGTGTGCCGAATTGGGTGCGGGTGGTGACGCATGCGGGCGGTGCCACTGGGGCCTTCGGTGGAGCTCCCTATGGGGCCACGAAGCCTGTTGTTGTGAGGGGCGTGCCGGGATGGGTGGCGGGGACGCATGTGAGCGCGGCCGCTGGGGCCTTCGGTGGAGCTCCCTATGGGGCCACGAAACGTGTGAGGGGTGTGCCGAATTGGGTGGGTGTGGGTGACGCATGTGAGCGCCGCCACTGGGGCCTCCGGTGGATGATGGGGCCACGAAACCTGTCAGGGATGTGCCGAAATGGGTGTGCGGGACGCATGCGCATGTGAGCGCCGCCACTGGGGCCTTCGGTGGAGCTCCCTATGGGGCCACGAAACGTGTGAGGGGTGTGCCGAATTGGGTGTGCGTGACGCATGCGGGCGGCAGCACTGGGGCCTTCGGCGGAGCTTCCTATGGGGCCACGAAACGCGTGAGGGGTGTGCCGAATTGGGTGTGCGGGACGCATGCGGGCGGCAGCACTGGGGCCTTCGTGGGAGCTCCTATGGGGCCACGAAACGTGTGAGGGGTGTGCCGAATTGGGTGTGCGGGACGCATGCGGGCGGCAGCACTGGAGCCTTCGGTGGAGCTCCCTATGGGGCCACGAAACGTGTGGGGGGTGTTCCGAATTGGGTGTGCAGGACGCATGCGGGCGGCAGCACTGGGCCTTCGGCGCGTCTCCCCTATGGGGCCCGAGACGTGTGAGGGGTGGTGGCCGAATTGGGTGTGCGTGACGCAATGCGGGCGGCAGCCTGGTTCCTTCGGCGGAGCTCCTATGGGCCACACAGCGTGAGAGTATTGTTGTGCCGAATTGTGATTGGGTGACGCATGCCGGGGCGGCAGCACTGGGGCCTTCGTGAGCTCCCTAAGTGGAGGCACGAAACGTTGGTGAGGGGTGTGCCGAATGGGTGTGGTGACGCATGCGGGCGCGGCACTGGGGGGGGGGGGCCTTCGGTGGAGCTACCGATGGAGCCACGAAAAAAACGTGTGAGGGGTGTGCCGAAATGGGTGTGCGGGACGCATGCGGACGGCAGCCATGGGGCCTTCGGTGGAGCTCCCTATGGGGCCACGAAACGTGTGAGGGGTGTGCCGAAATGGTTGTGGGTGACGCATGCGGGCGGCAGCACTGGGGCCTTCGGTGGAGTTCCCTATGGAGCCACGAAACGTGTGAGGGGTGTGCCGAAATGGGTGTGGGTGACGCATGCGGGCGCGGGCACTGGGGCCTTCGGTGGAGCTCCCTATGGAACCACGAAACAATGTACGGGGTGTGCCGAAGTGGGTGTGGGTGACGCATGCGTGCGCGGGCACTGGGGCCTTCGGTGGAGTTCCCTATGGGGCCACGAAACGTGTGAGGGGTGTGCCGAAATGGGTGGTGGGTGACGCATGCGGGCGCGGGCACTGGGGCCTTCGGTGGAGCTCCCTATAAGCCGCGAAGCTGTGAGGGTGTGCCAGAAATTGGTGTGGTTGACGCATTGCGGCGCGGGCAAATGGGGCCATTCGGTGGGCTCCCCTATGGAGCCACGAAAAGCGGTGTAATTGAGTAGGTGAAGAGGAGTAGGAGGAGAGGAGGAGGAGAGGAGGAGAGGAGAGGAGAGGAGAGGAGAGGAGAGGAGAGGAGAGGAGAGGAACGCGGGGCACCGTCTCTTCAAAACGAGGACCCAACACCACAGGATGGTTGGGAAAAAACCACGCGAGCCTCAAGGCAACCGCAGAAGCTTCTCCGTAGCCATTTTGGCTCAAGTAAACCATTATCGAGTTGCTGCAGAGAGCCCCACGACTGGCGTGTAGCTCGGCCCGCGATACAGGGGCAGAGCGCCAGTCTTCCTTTTCTTTTTCAGTGAGCTCCTGGAGGAGCCATAGCAGTCTTCCAACCTACCAGCGTCCCTTTCGTTTCAGTGAGCTCCTGGAGGAGCCACCAGTGTCATGACCCGCAAGGCAGTGCGCAAGTATCACGACAAGGAGGATGATCATCGATCTCGTCGTGAGCGCCGGGCCGATCTTGACCAGGATCATGATGCATCGACGTCCTCGGCTGGGTCCCCTCGCCACATTCCGACCAAGACCCGACACTCGAGCCGCAGTCGGTCTGGCGGGGCCCCCTTTACGCCAAGTACGAGTTCGACTGATACGAAGATCGACATCCTCATCGGTAACATGGAGTCCATGTCGCAACTAGTTGCCAACCAGTCGACGGACATGGGCACCATCAAGGATGCCTGCAAAGCATCCATGGATCGCTGTGCCACGCTCGCCGACCAGATGACGATGATGAGCCGAGAGTACCAATCGCGCCATCAGGAGTTGCAGGAGTCGGTGAACGCCTCATTGAATGCGCTTGACTATCGGATGGGCATCCTCGAGCAGGGAGGCGTCGACGTGGCCATGATAGGCACCGACCCCGCGCTGCAGGCCAAGGTTGCTGCGATCGCGGGCTCATTGGCTGAACTCTTGGACCGGCAGCGCACCTCCGAGAAGCACATCGCCGACATCCAGTCCACTCCAACCCAACCCCGCCGCCGACTTCGCCACGGTCGAGGGGGCCTGCTTCATCAGGTAGAACGGGCACCGAGCGTCACCAACACGATGTATGCAAACTGGTCTTACTGGGGTTCCCGCGGCCCCTCCTCGCGGCGGATCTTCGCAGGATTGGTGAGGCATGCAAGGCCCGCTTTTCCCCAGCTCAGTCAGGCCAAGATTATTGTGCGCGCGTTCGACCTCAGCAAGAAGACAACATTCCTTTTCGAGAATCCTCTGGCCGCCACCCACTTCCTCGACGCCTTCTCAGCGGCTGGAGTTTCGTGGACATACCCTGACCCGTTGCGCACTCAGCAGCCCCTAGTCCTTCGCTTGAGGCGAGATTTGGATTTTGCTGGGCGACAGCTTTGCTTGTCTTTAGGGCGCGCGCGCGCCTTGCTCACCGACCTCTTCAAACCCTTGGGGCTTGAAGTTGGAAGCGCGGGCCTAGGTGGCTCTGCTTGCGTCTTGCGGTCTCCCCGCGACCCCGCCCCCCTTGTCAAAATCGTTGTGTGTGTGTGTGTGTGTGTGGGCGGCTCGATCGACGCTCAGGTCGACCGAGATGCGTTTCTTGAGTTTGGTATTGAGCAGCACTCGGCCTCTGTCATCGCTGCTGCGAGTGTTCCCTTGAGGCGCCCCTTTAGGCGCTGAGGCGGGCAGTGGCGAGCGCGCCAGTGCAGGCTTTCCCCCCTCTCCGTCTTCGCCCTCCTCCTCTGCCCCTTTCCGCCCCTCCTCCGCGGTGAAGCTCTGCGCCTGGAACGCGGCTGCTCTGTTCTGTTCAGTGAAAACGAAGACATGGCGGGCCTCGGCACGTTGCAAGCAATACATCAACTATGGCATGATGAACGACAGCAACACAGTACAATACACACATGGACACGAGGGGGACGTAGATGAGCTCGCCAGAGAGTTGGGCTCTCACGCATTCGGCTACTCATTTTTTGACGACTCTACTAGGGAAGGTTGAGTTGTTACGGCATTATCGGCGCGTCTAGTATCGCAGTTCTCGCAGATTGACCACCTCCCGATCGTTGTTGGGCGAATCCTTAAGACGATTCTCCTGGGGCCGAACGGTAAAATGGTCATTTGCAATATCCACCTCCCGACCTCTCCCTCGTCGGTGGTGCGCTTCAAGTGCTTCGGGCAGATTTTTTTGCAATGCCGGCCTGGTGGTGGTGGACCGCCTGCGCGTGTTCTGTATATGGGCGACTGGAATTTGGCGATGGAGGACGGGGGCAGGTTTCGAGGGGATGGGGGAGGGTTCGTCCCAGGAGATACTGCGCACTCTCGGCTCTTCGCGCGGTTTTTCCCTGGCCTTGCCGAGCTGTTTCAAGGTGAAGACGCGCGCCGTGGACGTACAGGCCTCGCTGTTGACAAGACCTCTCGTATTGATCGGATTTACACTTCCCTCCACCTGGCCATGCTTAGAGATATTACGATTAATGTTTCCACTATTGGGTCGTTGAAATCTGCTCAACCTAGTGATCATATACCTGTTCGTGCTGTTCTGGGTCGTTTCGTTCCCAACTCCAGCCAGCCCATCCCCCGTGGATTGCTGGGCTGCCTGAATTTGGCATGGCGTTAGATGACCTTCTTGGACAGATTCCGCCCTCCTGGGGCGAGTGGTCACGATTGAGTCTTGCTCAGGAGTTCTTCTTCGAAGCTGATGACATTGCGCGCCGAGCTCTTCGTGCCCGCCCTGCTGTCTCACTTCAGGAGAAGCACTTTTGGGCGATGGCTGCCTTGCGTGCTAATTATTCCCATGATGTTCGTCGCATTCGACAGGCGCTGGCGTGCTGCCCGCGGCTGGCCGTGCATTTTGACAACGATGCCAACTGCGCGCGCGTGCGCGGCTACAAGAAGATCCTCGATGCAGAGGAAATCGACATCTCCCAGTGCGACGCTGAGGAGGTGCGAACACGGTCTAGAGTTGCTCGCCTGCGCCGCCGCCAAGCTCTCTGGGGGAAGTTCCGACGACGGGCTGTTCTGGGCTCAGGTCTGGACTCCGCTGGGCCCCCGTCGAGTACCCTTCCTGAGGCTGCGCGTCTTCTTCGGGGTCATTGGTCTGAGGTCTTCAAGGCCCCCGCCGTGGATCAGGAGCTCTGGGCTGAGGTTAAGCCCTTCATTCAGACCCTTGATGGGCCCCTTATTTGTGAATGGAGACTTTGCTATCATGATTGGTGCCTGGTGCTGAGTAAAAGGCACTCAATGCCAGGTCCTGATTGGCTACCCTACTCTGTCTGGAAACATCCTGAGGCCTCCCGCATGCTGTGCTCCTGCCACCTCCTCCGCTTCACAGATAGCGTCCATGATTTACCAGAATATATGCGCATGAGCTTAATGGTTTTCCTTCCCAAGGGCACGGGCCCGAAGGATAACGGTGCTGCTGACTTGGAGCGCTCTTCCTCCTGCACTCGACCCCTCAGCATGAGCAGCGCGGGTGTGAAGATTCCCGCGTTTTTTTTTTTTTTTTTTTTTTTTTTTTTTTTTTTTTTTTTTTTTTTTTTTTTTTTTTTTTTTTTTTTTTTTTTTTTTTTTTTTTTTTTCAAAAAAAAAAAAATAGAGCGCGCTTGTTGTCGCGAACACTAAGCACCTGGTCGGTGGTGAGCAAAAGTGTGTGAAGGGGAGGGCGATGATATCTAATGTTATCAGGGCCGAAGGTTGGGGGCTTGCTCAGCACCTATGGGACACTCCTCATCCCTGCGTTCCCGTCTCTTGCGCAGTGCTGGCTATTCTTTGTATTGCAATGCATGGGCATCGAGGCGTCTGTGATACGTTTCTTTTTTTTTTCGGTTGATGTATAAGGATAGCAAAGGACTCATCTGCCTCAATGGTAGCCGTTTTGATCTGATTGCCCTGGGGTCTGGAGTAAAGCAAGGGTGTCCTGCATCGATGTACCTATTCGTCCTCGCCGTCGACCTTCTCCTTCGATGGCTTCGTCATCGATGCTCGCGTTCTATCGATATGAACCTGGCATGCGCAGATGACGTCCTTTTCGGACTGGTGAATGTTCTCATTGATCTTAGGCCAGCACTTCGCTGCCTGATGGCGTTTGCTAAGATCGCGAACCTGCAGCTGGATTTCAAGAAGTGCCAACTGATTTTATGTGGCAGTACTGTGCACCAGCGGCTTCGCGATGTTCTTGCGAGTTTTGGTGCACTGTTCGGTGAAATTCCAATCCTGTCTTGGGCGGTCTACCTTGGGTTCCCCATCGGTCCGGGGGACCACCTGCACGTCTGGCAATCAGTTCCCCCTGGGTTCCTGAAGCGCGTGCACCAAACTCGGCAGTTGGGCCTTGGCATTGCGAGGTCTGCCCTCGCCTTCCAGGTGATGTGTGTATCCAAGTTATCGTTTCGACTCCAATTTTGTCCTCCTGATCAGCTCCTGGTTCACAAGTTTCGGGGAAGTGTTATGCTGTTGACATCTGGGCCTCGCAAAGCAATTTCTTATAATATTGCCACGGCTTGGCATCGAGTTCGTCGAGATCGGCGCTGTCGCGCAAGCCGCTGCCCTCCGCTTTATGCTGAAATGCCATGATTTCCCTGAAGTATTTGAGGAGCTCGAGAGGGCCCGTGAGGACCCTGAACCCATTCCCTATAGGTGGCACCGTGGCTGGAACTCCTCGTCGTTTCTTGGGCACATGCGGGCGCTCTGGGATAAGTACTCCTCCCTCAAACCGACCATCCTGCAGTGGAACCCGACATCGATCCAACGAGAGTAGTGCAAACGTACTCGAGCTCATGAGGAAACTGAACCCGTTCGGGAAGCACTTCTGCGGCGCGCACGTTATTTCAGCACGTCCGTTACCCGCCAGCAGATTGATCTTATGTGTAGTATGGTGAAGCAGGTTTGCAAGGCGAGCTCTATGTACATCGGAGTCGCCCCTCTGGGAGTTCTAACTGGTGCGTTCTGCACATCGTCTCGTTTTCATTCTGCTCCCGCTGGATGCTTATTCGGATGTACTGGGAAGGATAATGATGAGGATCTTGACTCGCTCCGTCACTACGCCCACTGTCCGAAATTGTGTTCGATTATGCGTAAGTGGCTTGGCGATCAGCTATGTGTCTCTGAAGGGCCTGTGAGCCCCAACTGGTTCCACTCCTCTCTCCCCCTCTACTGTGGTTCTGTGCCTGCCTGTCTGAAACGTGCTGTGTGCCTCGATGCGTTCCTGGCCACCCACAATGCCAGGGGGGTGTCTGGCCGCGGTGCCCCCCCCCCCCCCAGCAGGTTTTTGAGGCCCGCTTGCGAGCCATTGCCCGCCCGCCACAAGAAACTAACCGATGCATGGTCTGATGGGGGACAGCCGAGGTCTCGTCTGCTCACTCGTGTTGCTGCCCCTCCTGTCAGTGTAAGTGTTGATGAAGCGCTGCCGAGGCGTGCTCCGGGTGCGCCGCGCGGCAGATGGGAGCTCCCAACTGAATCCTGGCAGCTGGTGCGAGCCACGTTGGACTGTTGGGTGTTCTGCCCACCACCTTCTGACAGGTAAACTAAAGAACCCAGCGTGAACTGCCCCCCCCCAAAAAAAAACAACATCAACAACCAATTATCCTGGCGAAGGACCCAACCATATGCAATTGTGAATGCTGCAATTGTGAATATCTTCTCGGTGGAGCCCCCTACGGGGCCACGAAACGTACGAGGGGTGTGCCGACATGGGTGTGCGGGACGCATGCGGGCACACCCACTGGGGCCTTCGGTGGAGCTCCCTATGGGGCCATCTTCGACCCCTGGCAGGTGATTGGTGGCCGAATGGGTTGTGCGGGAACGCATGCGCACACCCACCTGGGACCTTCGGGGCCTTCGCGGAGCTCCTATGGGTGCCACGGAAAACCCTTGCAAGGGGCGTGCCGAATGGGTGTGGCTGACGCCATATGCGGGCGCGTGCACCTGGGGCCTTCGCGGAGCCTCCTATGGGGCCGCGAAGCGGTGAGGGGGTGCCAAAGGGGCGGGCTGACGCCATGCGGGCGCGGGCACTTGG